AAAAAAAGATATACATATTTATTATATATGAGCAATGCATAAACTTTAAAGATCTAAATATGAAACTTTATTAAGCTTAGTTAAACTAATAATATTACATTTGTTATATTATGATTTAACAAATAATTTTTTTATAGGTGAAAACCAGAATAAAAAAGAAGTAGATAACAGAATTAAATTAACTTTACAAGTTGGAGATCCTAAAATTATTATCAATTTATGAGAATATAATTCTAGTATATTAACATATTATGAAACATTTTGAAAAGTTGCACAAAAGTTCTTACTAGTATAGCAGATTCATTACTTGCTATTAATGATTATAAACATAATACAATAGTTCATTTAGCAAAAGTAATTTCTGTAAATGATTTTATATAGCAAGTTGCTATACTATGTTCTCTTAAAACAACAATTTTATGTAAACAATTGGTTTAGTTACAATTCTAGCCAAAATCTTTTTATAACTTAAATGCACTACAAATACTAGTTAATTAAATTTAAAATTTATAATACAAACTTGACATTTTTATATAAATTTTCCTGATGCACATTATGCTTTAGCACTTTTTTGATAATAAAAGAATTAGTGATAAAGTTTTATGAATACTGTTTATTTTATTTTCTTAATAATAAGCATCATTACAAAGTAGATAAATCTGAATATCTAGTAGCAACAATAGAATGTGAAAACAAATTTTAGTTAGTTTAAATAAAACTTTTTTAGTTAGTAATCATAATTTTACCAAAGTTTGAATTATTTCTAGCATTATAATAAAATGCAATATTTTAGAATCAATTGATAATTTACTTTATAAAGATCATATATTTATATATTTAAAAGATCCTATATTTAAAGCAAATCTTCTTTATGTCATTTAACAGAACTTTTAATATTATTGAAAATTATGATATAAATTTACCAATTTTATTTTTATATACAGATAAAGGTCCTGATCATCAAGTTAATTATTTATTTGTTTAAATTTTTCTTGTTTCTCTCTATTTGTCTCAGAAACTTAATTACTTAGTATCTATAAGAACACCATCAAAACATTCTTGAAAAAATCTTATTGAAAGAATTATGTCTATATTAAATCTTAGACTTCAATATGTTGGATTAATGTATAAAAAAATATCTAAAAAATTTGAACAAATTTTAGAAAAGTAAATTCAATTAAAGATATTAAAGAAGCTACTAAAAATTATCTAAATTTTCAACAAAAATTAAATGATAATTTTTTTTTTTTGGTATTAAGATGAGGTCTTGCTTATATCTTTATTAATAATTTAAAATAGTTATATATATATGCTATGACTGACGTCAATACTTGCAGTTAGGGCTACTATTAAGCTTCTAACTATACAACTACTACTATTTGTACAAAATAAATAAATTAAAAATTACATGTAAGAATAAAAGCTCAGACTAATTTATCTGTTATCTAAATATACTAGAGTAGTCAAAGCTCACTTAAATTTGGATGTTTATTATATAATTTGATGATAAATTATATTTGATCTATAGAATAGACCAAATGTTAATTTTGCAAATTGTTTGACCAATAGGAGGGAGTTCCTTGTTGTTGATATTAAGGTTTGAGGGAGCAATGATAAAGATTTTCTATAATAGAATTTTCAAGTTCAATAAACAAGATCAGTTTTTTGCCTTTAGTCAAATGAAGAATTTTTGATAATAAATATAACCATTCAAGAAATATAGTGTTGTCTGAGGTGCAGAGTTGTTCAAAATAGAGTTGATTTAGTCGTCTAAGTTGTTTTTTAAAGATTATATATTTAGGGTGATGTTGAAGAATAAGTTCAAAAGGTTGAAACTGATAATGAATAATGTTTGGTTATAAAATATTACTATTAGCTCTAATAGAAACAGCAATTTGTGAAAATAGTTAGATAATTTTAAAATTAAGGGTATATTTATCTTAACCATCAATATTAGGTTGAGGATGTTCAAGAATATTATAATAAACCAAAGGTTGTTTTGAAACTGTTATAATCTAATATATATAGAAACATCTAGTAAATAAGAATTATTAATTCGTTAAAAGAAGGTAGTAATATTGTGTTGTAATTATATATCCCAAATATTATGTATATTGTATAGATAGGAATGAAGCATTATACTATTAGGGATTGATCAGGTAAGATGAGATTTGTGTTTAGCAACTGTAACGTATTTGACCAGTATGTGATTACATATAGTTTTGAGAAGAATAATATTATATATTCTATATTCTAATATTAGAATAATAATTGTATTAATAATATAAGTGATTTGTTTGTCTGTAATGTTTTTTGTATTTGCAGTATTAATTAATTAAAAAACTTCTTCTTGAATTAATTTGATTGTATAGGTTTGTTTGTTGTTAAGTGTAAACCAACAACCTAAGTATTAGAAAGTTTGACTATTTGTAATAGAATTGATAGTAGAGTTAAGAAAGATAATAGAAGTAGGTTTAGTGTTTGTGGCAAATATTGACTTAATAGGATTAATCTGAAGGTTGACCATTTGGTAAAAAGATGCTGCCATTTGAGTAAATTTAATCAAATTATATCTTATGTGACATCAATATTTTATTAATGAATTTAACTAGTTTTATTTAAAAATATTACTATTTATACTGAGAAATAGATCTAAAATTTTACTAATTATTCTGGCAATGGTTTCAAGAAGAATAAACTTTTTGTTTGTATCTGAGTAACATAGGCGGAAGTTTGTCTGATTGCTTAAATTGAGTTGACAGCAGGTCAACAAATTGAAAAACAGTAAAACAATAATACATTATTGAGTTAGCAATCGCATGGGTAAGGCTGCGCAAAGATATTTCATTTGCATTATTTGCTTTTCGAAATTCTGATCAGTCAGAGTTTTTTTTATCAATTTAAATAATGGTCTCTTATCGCATTAATGAGTTAAATTACCACCCGAAAATTTCCGTCGACATGTTATATTCCATTCCGAAATGTTCCGACATTACACTTTCTTTTAGCGCGCCTAAATTTAGTATTCCAATTAAATGTATATGATTTTTTTGGTCTATATTCGTTAAACTATTAAAATAAACATTGTTATCCTTGTTTTAAACCAATTTAATGCTATAAAAAAAAATAATAATAATAATTCGAATTTTTGAAAAATTTGGTCGGCGGGTAATGCAAAACGAAAAATTAACTTTGCGCGGCCTAATCGTAACACGTAAAAAAAATAACAAAGCAGATGGCAATTCATGATCATAAGAGTTTGCCGGTGTGGGACCTGAATGGACCTTGGCCGTCTGGGGTCCATTACTAAATTAGGGAAAAGTCGATCGCATTCATCGCATGCGACCGATCAGTCGCATCTGACGAATGTGTCGGATATCAGCGATCGGTCAGAAGGGTATTTTGGGAGATATTAGTAGGATACGCGTGTCAATCGCAAGATGTAAATAAGTTTTTGTAATTATAAATAAAAGCCTAAAGGTCCTTCGGGAAGAACAAACTCCCCAATGCAAATAAAATAGAATATAATACATATAACTCATAATCGCTCATGGTAAATCGCTTGTTAATAATAAAACGAGTATCTTTATTAAAAGTAATCGCCACCTCTACTACATAATCTGGCCCTAATTTGTTATTACATAAAGTACGCTAATACATTTGTCCAATAACAAACCCGAAATCTCCTTTGCTATAAACCTCGACTTATACTATATTAATTACTCGCCAAATCTAACACGCCTCATTCGACCCGATATAAACCCTCTCAAGTGGTTACACGAGAAATTGAATTGTGGAGTGACTGACTCGCCGATTTTATGTTTTCACCGGTAAATGACAATTACTAATCGTCATGATTTTTTGGATAACCAGGTATATTATATGATGCCTTGTGAACTTTTGTTTGATTGGTCAATTGCCTGATAGTGTATATCAAATGCTTCGCAATATACTAATGAAATTTTAGATCAATGATTAAATTCGTTGTTCCGTTAGAAGTTTGAAGTATGCTATTCAGTTCTTATTTAATTTTCTATTTATGTTACTTTGACTATTTGTTAATTACTATATATGCCATCGTTCTTGCTTTCTAGCGCGACTGCGTCGCGCAGCTATCTTATTGTGAAATTATCATACTTTCGAGTAATTTTGAGTAATCTTGTGTAAGTTTCGTGCGTGACTAAGGGTAGTGATTTCCTCTCCAGTTAGATTTAGTTATTTTCATAAATAATTTATAATTTTATTTTAAAGTATGAGTCTTTTCAGCTGCACTAAAAATATTTTCTAATTTTATAATAAAGCCGAATTTTTCCTACTTTATAACATTAATTCTCGTTATGTCTTGTAGATTCACATTAGGTAAATCTCATGAATAGAAAACAGGTAAACCATTATCGCCTTCATTAGAAAAAATACTTGTATTAATTAAATTTTTGTAAACTTTTTCTTCACTTAGATGATAACCATCGAAGGTTCTTATGTATCCACAAGTAACAAATATAATCTTACCAAATGAGCACCATGGGTCTATATAGTTTTATCATCCTTTATAAATAGTTCTCTATATGGATCAGAAACTGTATTTCTTAACATTTTTGTTGATTTAACAATTTATTAGATATTTAGACCAAAATCAACTTCGTTCATATAATGAAATACCATTGATCCAATTTCATCCTGAGTTCAAATGAATCCAACAGTTTTATGTAAAAAAATAATAATTTTATGATTAAGAGTTGTATTTAAAAAATTGTAACAAGTCTTGCAGTTACAATATAATCTTTGTGAACTTAATCTACTGCCCAAAAACCAGCTGTACATGTCAGAATTGTTACCTAAATTACATACTCCATCTTCATTTATTATTAGTGAATCTATTCTACGCTTAGTGTGGGTCAAATTAGGAGATCGTTTCTAGAAGGTCGCTCTCGATTTCACCCAATAATACATATAACAGGATTATAATATCTGATAGCGTTAATAAACTTTATAATATGCTCTTATGGATGTCTTATAAATAAGGCAATGTTATTCTCTTCAATGTCAATGTAGATATGTATGCCAAGATGAAAATGCGGCTGTGAATTTGCGATTATTTCTTCTAACGAGTTTTTTAAGAGTGATAGAGAATTTAGTGCTGGTTCAAATATTAATAACTCACTAGGCGGTTGTATATCAGATGGATTTAATATAATATCCTTCTTAGTTTCATCTACTATCTTGATAATTATTTTAATTCCTTTTTACATTTATATGGATCCTCCGAAACTTTCTTTATTTTATTTTAAAAATTGCTTCAAAAGTTCACCTACCATGCATAAGTGCTTCTCAATATCTAAAAAATTAGGTACTTAGCTTTCAGTCGCATTCCATAATTCAGATATTGCTTCATTAAAAGCATGAATCATAAAATATTTTTGCAATATAAAAATAAGTAATAACAAATTTATTATAAAATAAATATTTTTCATAATTATAAAGAAAACAATAATGTAGTTGTTAATAATAAAGATAAGGTGTTAATAATAGATGGTTAACGATGGTTTATTAGTTTACTATAGCACTTATATTTTATTATGGATCGGATATTTATTGGTACTGGAGGATTTATTTGTGTAAGGGACGACTTGTGCTTTTTCCTGGGCAGAAATGCCCTTTATTTATAATAAACGTCTTATTTACATTCGTAATCAATTTATGCAATAAATGCCAGATATTCCTTATACTCAATATATTAGCTAAATGTAATAAAAGGCCGATATGTCATTTAACGCATATGTGGCCGAAGTAGCAGAAGTGACATAAGTACCATAAG